TACAGGCTCTGGGTTCAATTCCATCTAGGCTAAAACCTGGAATGCATCACTGCATAGCAGTAATCTTTAAAAATAAAGATCATAAAAGGTCTTATCTCATAAGTTTTTGAAGGATTACATGAGGTTGAGTATTGAAAGCACATAGTCCAGAGTTTAGAGTACAGAGTAAGCACTCAAATTATAGCACTGAGGATGACGATGAGTTCTACCACAGGCAAAACACACACACATACGCACACCCCAAAACAGTTTCTCTAAGGTGTGGTCCTGAGTTCTTTAATCAGCAACATACTTCTTCCATTTACCAGTAACAAGTTTTTAAAATTTCTCTTCCTTTATCCCATAGCAACCATAAAAAGAGAGACAAAATTAAAAGTGAAAAATGTAATCACTGTATGAATTGTTTTGTCTACATGACAGGCTAATCAAGTACATGACGCTTGCCCTCTTTGTGATATGACCTACAGTATAAGCTGTTAGGGTCACAGCTTCTAGATTATTCCAGAGAGTGCCATTTTATTGGACTTTGAGAATTTTGAAATTATATTAAATATGTGCAAATTCTGCATGTAATAAATAGTCTTAGCTTAGAATTATGAGCAAGAAATAAAGGTTCAGCACATTAAAGCCATTTCCATTCAATAATAATTAGCATGTTTAAATACAATATAATTTTTATCCATCTACAAAATGCTTAAATGTTTTGAATCTCATTTATGTCTATAATGACAGATTCATTTTTGAGGTAATCATTTTTGATCTTGATTTGTATATTTTAAAGTTGTTAAATGCTTGACTGAAACATTAGCAAAACGATTCATGTATCATTAAACTGACTTCTGGCATAAGATAATTTTCTTCTATGCCCAATAGATGAGCTTTTTAAGATTTACTGAAATAGCTTTTATTCTTTGGGGAATGGATTTTGGGAAGCTGTGGAGTGGGCCTTATCTCCAGCTAATTTTACCACCTTCAATTTCTTCTCCCCGTACATTCTTCTAAGAAACTTAACCCAAAATGGTTGGCTGAGTGAAGAATATTCAAACACATTAAAGCATGCATGTTGTGCTAGGAAAAAACACAGACCAGAGAGAGTCTCCTTTTTAATGCACAACCAAGGAAAAGAGTGAAAGATAAATGGATGAAGGCAGAGAACAGAAATCCTGGGAACTTCAGGCCTTAATGAAAACAGGACCTTCCCCCTTACACACACTACAGTCCTAGTTCCCCCAAGTTGACAAAGGTTCTATTTCCTCTATTTCCCACACGTTCCCATCCATGGACAGCCCTGTTCCAGCCTTCCAGAGAACTGCAGCTAAAGAGGCCTCAGAAAACCTGTGCATGCAGAGCAGACAAGAGGGTGGAGGTAGCAGGGCGGCTAAGGTACATGGGCCATGCCCGGCTGGAGCTGGAACAGTTCACTTTTGTCTAGAGAGCAGCCCACACTTTCAGTTCCCCACAAGGTCAGGAAAACTGGGGAAAGTGAGGGCTGTTCAGGCAGGCCCTGGGGGCTGCCTTCACCCAAATAGGAGAAGCCTGGCTAGCACATGGCCCCTTCTCAGCCTTGACAGCCCCACACAGACCTTTGAACTTTCTATTTATATAATAGTTTAGTGAGTTTAAGTCTCTTCCTGTATGACTGCCCTTTTGAAAGCTTGCCTCTAATTAGGCTACCTGTGAGACATCACATAAAAACTACAAACAATTGATGCAGTCCTTCACAGTGAGAAGCAGGCCACTGTCACACTCACTCAACTACAATTTTCACTATTTTAGTTTTGATATCATGGCAGTTTTCTTTTCATTTTTTTCATTCTTAGGTATTTGTCCCTTTCTGCATTTTCTTCTTTCCTTCCTTTTTTGTATAATAATTTTAAAAAAGTATCTCACAAAGAACCTTGGTCTATCAGAAAGCAATAGCTCCTCAATACTGGGAAAGTGGGTGCTTCCATCCTGTACAATTTGTAGGCTCTGTACATTTCTTTTTCACCCTCTTAAATGGGAATTAATGACTTTGCCATTACTGGTAAACAAGTCCAAATCTACCCACATGATGTCCAGACACCTCAAGAATTCATTTACCTGATTACCAAAGGCAAGTCGATGGAATGATTTAAATAGTGAATTTGATTTTTTTCTTTACCCTTACCCTTTCCCTTTTTAAAGAGCAAGTGATGTCTTTGGTGTGCACAGACATCTGTGCCTTCCTTTCCATTCACAGAATGGCTCATATTGAATTCAAATTCAGGTGAACATTGCTCAGGCATCCAGCAGTCTTTAAAGAACTTGAGCTTTGGCCTTTTAATGGAGTCCAGAGCGACCCATTAAGATATTCTTGCATTTTGTAGAATCCAGAGATATGTTCCATTAGGCATCTGAGCACTCCCAGACACTGCGCATATACTTGTACACTGCAGCATCATTCATACCTCGTCTTTTGCATGTGCATTTGTTCAATCACATGTGTGTGTTTATAAATGGGCACTCATTTTTTACTTACTACAATCAAGCGTTTGCAAATAGCACATATTTCTTCATTATGTCTAGGTGAACGAGTTTGTTTTTAAGCTGTCCTGATCCACTTATTGTCAGAAATTAGGCTTGCAGTAGAGACTACTCCAAGCTTACAGTTCCACCAGTGATTAGGTTCAATGTAAATGAGCTCCTTTACTTTGTGGTCCCCTTTTGCCTACCTCTGTCATTCTGGGGACATGGATGGTATGTCATCACTTTAAGCTGCTACTTACTCTCAAAGAAAAGAAGCAAGCATATAATGAACATGTAACCGGTATTCTCTGGATGTCCAAAGAGAGTTTGGAAAGGTACAAATTTCCACTAAAGACAATGTCAAGCTTTTTGGTTCATCCACCATTGTCACACTTGTGTTCATTTTCTCTATGGAGGTATACAAAACATAGACGCATAAACGCTTTACAAACGTTTTGAAATACCGATGCATAAGAAAACTTGCCCCTCACAATCAAACAGTAAAAAGGAGAAATTCTCTTGGAACATGTGCTCAGAGGAAAAAGACAGGTTTATTTTATGCAGATATGTTACAATTTTATCAATTTTACATCATAACCACCAATTATGCAAGTCGGCAAGCTCTTTAACTGATGAAGCACAGTTATGGATCTGGAAGAAAAAAGCTTTTCCATTTTCCTAAAGAAAAGATAGCTTCCTCAAAGGGGGAAGGAGACACATTTTCCTGAAAAACAGAAATTAAACATACAAGAACCCATCTCCTTGAAATACCTGACTGCCTGTAAGATTAAACTGGAATTAAAATAATAAAATATACATTTTGGTAACAGAATGCCTTTCTATGTATAACACTTGAACTACACCCATGAAATCAATTATAACAACGTCTGTTAAATTAACGATGTTACCCACATCACATTTTAAACAAATTGTATGCAAATAATAACAATGTGGTTATCAGTTGTCTGCAAAATGAGCTAGTAAATCAGAGTAAAGGCTGTGAGCAAGAGCATAATATTTAATTGAGCAGTCATTTTATTGTGATTTTTTTACTTTTAAGTAACTTCAGTGTGATTTTTAAAATATAACAATGTTTTCTGCAGAAGTGATAAAAACCCACACGGTTTCAAAAATGTCTTACAGATTAATACTGATACAGCCTAATTTGTGCTTCAAAGATTTATCTGGAATTGTTGTAAAATAAGATATAAAGTTTGATTACCTGGGGTTTGCAACTAGAGGAGTAATGATTGACATAATGAGCTATTGGCAAGCCTATGGCCCTTTTTGAAAGAAGGAAATTGCCTAAAATATCACATCAACGAGGGAAATCTTTGTAAAAAGACACAGCATTCCTAGCCAACGGCCACTAGTAGGTGAACATTGCAAAAGATTTCAAACTGTTGGTGGGCACTACAGATTATTCTAACTACATTTTAAAAGGGCAATATCCAAGAGTACAATTCTAAGTCGCTGCGCGGTACCCTCCCTTCGCATCTAATGCCTTGGGCTGTAGGGGAAAACTGACAAGTTAATATATTATGACAAATAAAAGGTGATAACGTTTGTAGTAGAAGGTGAAGTTTTTAAAAACTTAATAGATATGTGTATCAGTTTTTATGTACGCACGCCGGCACATCACTAGCAGTTAACAACTTTCTGGCCCCCTAGTCACCTCTGAATCATCTTTCAAAATCGCTCAGAGACAAGTTAAGGTATTTTTTTAAAGAGTGGAATAAACGTTTGAATCAGAGTTGTGTGCCCATTACATAAACCTATGGCGGCTTCCCCCTGAGAGGCCAACGTTGGTCCAGCCCATAATTAAATGTGCATTGACTTCGGCGCAGCCAACTTTGAGGGCCAACTTCAAAAACCCTGTCTGGAAAGCCAAGTGCTCAAGCTGGTCGCGACCCAGTCCCTCCTGCAGTTGTGCCTGAAGACTCTGCGCAGGAGTGCGGGGCCCTTGGGCTAAGCGGGCATTGGGGAAGGTGTGAGCTCTGCGCCTTGCCCGCGGGGATGGAGGTGGCAGAAGCGGGGGCTATGGCCACCAAACAAGCAGAGGTTGGCCAGAGGCACCTGGCCATCGCCTTTCCTCAGCCGCGGGCCCTGGGCGCTGGATACCTGGAAAGTTGAGGTATTTCAGCCTCGCAGCAACCAAGGCTCAAGGAGCGGTCCCCGTGAGCCGCCGCCAAGAAAAGCTTGGCGGAGGTCGTGCGGATCAGCTGTCCCTGAAAGGGTGCGCTGAATCCTATGTGGGCCAAATGCAACTCTTTGGACTTGGAATGCAAAGAGAAGCTTTTACTCGCATCCCTCCCTCCTCCCTCACTTCCCCCCATCCCGGCAGGCACCCCACCAAGGAGTCACCAAGGCAGGGGCCAGAGGTGGCTGAGAGCAAGTCGGAGGGCGTCCGGGATGCCCCCCACGACAGCTCTGGCTCTTCTTAACAAAGGCGAAAAGCCCAGACCCCGCCGAGGACCCGCTTATCAAAGGACAAGGCAAAATTCAACACCTACCACTGCTGCTCCAAGTCCCAGTCCCTGAAAAAGTCGAATAGATCCATAGTGGCCGAGAAGCGGCTGCGGGCAGGCGTCCTGCTCGCTGCGGGTCGGCACGGCTCTTGGCGCGGCTGGCTCACTGCTCTCGGCAGCGCGGCTCTCCCGCCCTCCCGCCTGGCTAAAAGTGCCCGGGCCGCATTTGTGGCGGCGACGGACGCCGGAGGTGCCTGGTCCTGCGCTCCGGCGCGGCGGCGGCGATGGCACGGGGCGGCCAAGCGCCTGGCCGCCCGCTGGGGTCCACTCGGTCCGCGGCCGCCCGTGTACCCAATGCCCCGAGGCTGCGGCGGCGGCAGCTACGGGCTTGGGCCGACGGGGCCGCCCGCCTGGCAGGCTGCGAGCGGGTGGCTGCAGCGGAGGCGGGGGCGGTTGAGGAAGCGGCAGCGGCGCGGTGCGGCGCGGCAGCCGGGGCGACAGCGGCGGCGGCGGCGGCGGCGGCGGCGGCGGCGGCGGCTGCACAGGCGGCGGCGGCCGCGGCAGCATCACACACTTACACACTCACAGGGGGCGGAGCCTGGACAGCTCGAAGCCGCGACATGGAGCAGGCAAGTTATCATCCCTGGATCTGGCAAGGATTCGCCCCGCCCGTCTGCGTCTCCCAGGACCCCCCACCCTGTCAAAAACAGCTGACCAGAGCGGTGGCCTAAGAGGAGGACTCAGATCCGGGCCAGGACCCAGAGGCTGTTGCAGGGATGCTGGAGGACTGAAGGGGCCAGGAGACAGACTAGGGGAATGGGTCCTCCTCTCTTAATCTCCGCCACTGAGAGTTAATATTTGCGACCAGAAAAGAGAACACGAACTGCCACAGGGTTGGGATAGACCCAACCTGTGTGCAGCAGGCGCACAGTCCCTGACCTGAGACATTCTTCAAGCCCAAGCATCCTAGCAAACTTTTGCTTCTTGACCATCCTTCTGGTTCGCATAGTAGACTAAGTGTGTTCATGGAGGACAAGGCGGTCACCTTCGCAGTTCCTCCGCATCCCAGCCCCAGGGCATGCCGTAGTGCCCTTCTGGGTTGAGAAGCCGGGGGGGGGGGGGGGGGGGGGGGGGCACACTTAGTAGGTCAGAAAGCTCTGGGCCCTGGAGTGAGTAAGCTGCCAGGGTAGGCACAAATGAAAACCTTTGAGTGGTCCTTGGGTTTGGGGTTAGGTCATGAGAAATTGGATTGCCCTTTAACTTCCTTGAACAGCCACCTTATCTTGGGCAAAAGCCTTCCATTCTTTCCTCCCCTGGGAAATGGGAAAATCTCTGGGTGTTTGCCCACTATCCCTTCTACCTTGAGAATCTGTCTTATCACATGAAGGGCTTAATGGAGCCCCTCTGCCTTTCAGCTTCCACTTCTAGTCCAAGAAAAAATGAATAGGTTACCTAATTCCCTCAATAAAGAAGTTTCCTGGCCTCCTTAGGAGAGAGGGGTGCAGGAAGTGGGTGGGGCCATTCCTGGCATTTCAGGACCTTGAGCATGGCTGGAATCCAAGCTATCTGGTTTGCCTTCCTCCTGTCCATATAGACAGGGAATGGTATGAGCACATTGTCAAAATCCTAGGTCTAGAAACCTTAAGAAAAGCAACAGATTGAACATTGACAGAACAGGATGGTGCTGGTGGCTATCTGTGAAAGCAAGTCACCTCTCTGGGCCTCAGTTTCCCTCTCTGTAAAACTAGAGATTTAACCCAGTGGCCATGTGACTCATCCTGCTCTGGTTTTCTCCTTTCCCACTTGAATAAGCTTCTTTCATATACTTTTTGTTCAAAAATTAACTGAAGCCCCTACTGGGTAATTTGCTTAAGATCTGACAGTTCCCCTACAGAGGGAACCTAGATTGCACCTAAAACCTGGGAAACCATTTTCTACTGACCAGTAGAAAATACTACAACTCCAACCTTGAATGACTTGAGGAGCTGAGCCACAAGGGGTCCAGAGTTTAGTCTCTTTCACATTCTTGTAAGGGAGAAGCACCAAGTTAACTTACAGAAACAATGCTCAGGTATTTTGCATGGAACTAAGTCCTCAACAGATACTATTTAATTGACAGAAAATCAACCAGTGGGCAACCAAGGGGAGATCACATCTCAAATTGGTTTGTCAATCTGGCTACATGTTAACTCCTCTGAGCAAAGACTCTGTTGCAACAGCCACTGGCAAAAAACGGTGCTGGGGGTTTGCAAATTATCTCTGTGCCTTGTTTATCTTCAGTCCGAGACTATGAGCTCTTAAGGTGACAGGGAATGCCTCACTTTGATCTGTGGCCCTCAACCTTTGTGCCCTCAGCAAATAATGCTCAGATTGGATTTGATCGCTAATAATGATTGCTACCACAGTTAGTGCCTGATCTGCTTGAAGCTCCTTACAGAAAAACAGAACATCTACAATTAACATGAGAATGGTGTTTATGGTCACTTTATATCTGCTTTAATTTTCTCACTGGTGCATATTGATTGAAGAAAATAATTTGATGCTAGATAAATAAATTTTCAACAGAACTAAAGCTGCTCCTTTAAGAGCTCCAGACCCCCTATCACCCCAGTGGTGCACTTTCTTCCCAATCAGCAGGAAGACCAAGCAGAAGCAGAAGGAGCCAGCAAGAGGCAGCACTCTGAACAGAAGTGCCTGCGGGAAGGAGAGAAGAGACAAGTGGTGCAGGCTGCTGCTTCAAAGAGGGACAGGGGCTTTCTCTTTCTGAGATCAAAACTAAGCAGGAAAGCTGTGTTGTGTGGAAGGAGAGAGCCCTCCCAGCCACCCTTCTCCAACAGGAAAAAGGCTAAGAGAGACAACATGGAAAAGGCCAAGCTGACCCACTGATACCAGCCAGCCTGGGCCAGTACATAGTCAGTATCTGAGCATCACTGCTGAGTAGAATAGAAGTTCTGTCTTTCTTGATCCAAGGTGAGCTTCGTCCCTTCCTCCTCCTCCTGCCCACCCCTGTCTCTGATGGCAGCAAGAGATCAGAATGTGACTCTCAGATATGTAGGCAGGCATGCATTCAAACCATGCTTCCTCCAAGAACTGGCCAGGAGGAAGGGAGTGCAGGTTTCAGAGAGACAGTAGCCAAGAAGTGAAAAGATTGTCAGGAGTCAGGGCCCACAAATGCAAGCTGGGCCTTCTAGTCTCCAGGAGGTGCAGTTTCTTCCCTCACATTCCACTCCTTGGGTTTTATTGACTAAGGTGAAAGACTCTTGGGCCAGCTGTTGCTCTGTCTTTGGTCAGAAAAGCCCTATTCTGATCTAGCAGGACCTACCTCAGGCAGCAGCCTCCAACTCGCAATTCAACCGCATTTTTGGATATCTGGAAGCTGCAGACACCTTCTCTCCATGTGAACCTCCTCTCTGTGTTGGCTTCTCCCATTCTGACTACCCAGCCAATCTCCCCCATTTGCAAAACATTTACCCAAAGTAACCTGCTAGGAGGACCATTTGGTCATCTTTTCAGATAGAACAGGATCAAAATTCAGTTAATATGACTCAATCCATTTGGGAGAAAACAGAAATTATTTTTAAGAGGCTTGCTTTTATGGAAATGCTGATTCTAAGATTTTCTGAAGTGAGATTTTTGGATTAAATTACTTTTAAAGGAGGTTAATTTGTAGTCTCCAGGTACTAATCTTCGTTTTAAAGAGCCTGAAATCCTCCATTCCTACAGTTATACTAAAAGCACTGTCATGCAGGTTCTGGTAGATAGTGTCTGAAAGTTAAAATTAATTTAAGAAAGTTTCACCATGCATGTCAGTCTCAGGAAATGAACAAATTGACTGTGTGTGATACATATGTTATCCTGTCTCTCTTCAGATTTCTACCTAAAATATTAAGCATTTGTTTCTGACCTGGGATGCAGTCGAGCTAACTTATTTCCTAAGAGGAAATTACAGCTAATGTGAGGAAGAATATGAAGATTACATAGACTTCATTGGGAACTCTAACTTCTTTTACAGCTCCTTCTCTGACAAAGCAGGCTGGTGCTGCCTTGAGTTTGGAATGGGCCAACATGACTGACTCTGGGCAAATTTCTGCAACATGGGTTATACCATCCAGAACCATCTTTGTTAAAAGGGCACATCCATCTTTTATAACCTCAGGATATATGTACTTATTTGTTTGGTATCAGTCCTCCAGAGATTGTAAGCCTCTTGAGGGCAGGGCTGAAATCTGTGCCATAAAACTCAGCACAGTTTCTGAGTTTCAATCAGACACAGGGTCTATTCAACCAGTCTGTGTAAGCTGCAATCCCAGGAGTCAATTTCAAATCAGCTGAAAACAATTCTCTAAACTTAAGATGTACCTTGTGAATAGACCATATGTTTTTTTTCACATTTCCTGGTTCTACCACTTTGTATTTTTTATGTCAACCATGTATCATAATTAAAAGTCTTTGTTCTTGAATTTTCTAGTTATCATAGACAATGACCCTATTTTAGAGCTCTTCCAAAGTCCTTGGCTCCAGGTTCTTACTGGGTATCAAATACCATATAATCTTAAATCAACCATGCTTAATTAGGGTTTGTGGTACTTGAAAGGTGATGCTATTCTGATTTTATATAGCAGGTTGCTGTAATGCCTCATACACATTTGACATGACATTAAAAACGGATAAAGTTAATTGAGACTTTATTACAGAACAGGCACTGTGCTAAGCATTGTGTATACATTTCTTCATTTATTCCTCACCTTGATTCTCTGATGTAGGTGTTAATATTAAACTTCTTTTACAAGGCTTTCAGAGACTGAATACAGAGCTCACAAGTGCCATGGCCAGATATGTACCCAAGTTTGTTTGCTCCTAAAGCCCATGTACTAATTCCTGCTGACCAAACACTATCATTCTGTGTGAATCAAAGATTTCTCTTACTGAAGCCCTGGAAGATAAGCAAAGAATTTTCCTTTCAGCAATTGAGACGACTCAGGTTAAGTGCCTACATTATTGTTTATAGTCCCAAGGATACCTGGATGCATTACAATAACCTGGGAATTTGTAGTGGCATCAGTTAACAGTTAGATTAAAAAAAATTCATGGTGCAATTTCCCTGATCTCAACTGTGGCTGAATTGGGGGACACAGTTGCCTGAGCCATTCCCTTGCATTAAAGAAAGGCG